CCTCTGACCACCACATGTCCCACTAGTCCCTCTCTGTGAAGAGTAGGTCTAGCGAGGTGCCTCCCCTGGTTGGCTCACCTACCAGTTGTATCAGGAAGTTATCTTCCATACACTCAAGGAACCTCCTAGCCTGCCTGCTCTCTGCTGTGTTGTATTTCCAGCAGATATCTGGTAGGTTGAAGTCCCCAGCCACAACAAGGACTGATGATTGAGAGACTTCAGCCAGCCATTTATAGAATACCTCATCTGCCTCCTCATCCTGGTTGGGTGGTCTACAGCAGACTCCCGACACAAAATCTCCCTTGTTAACCTTCCCCTTCATCCTTACCCATAAACACACAACTTCATCATCACTGCAATGTAGCTCTATACAGTCAAAACACTCCCTGACGTACAGAGCCACACCCTCACCTCTCTTTCCTTGCGTATCCCTCCTGAAGAGCTTATAGCCATCCACCACAGCATTCCTGTCACGACTGTCATCCCACCATGTTTCTGTGACAACCTTCCCCTTCATCCTTACCCATAAACACACAACTTCATCATCACTGCAATGTAGCTCTATACAGTCAAAACACTCCCTGACGTACAGAGCCACACCCTCACCTCTCTTTCCTTGCGTATCCCTCCTGAAGAGCTTATAGCCATCCACCACAGCATTCCTGTCACGACTGTCATCCCACCATGTTTCTGTGACGGCGACTACATCATAGCTGTCCTGCTGCACAATGGCTTCCAGCTCATCCTATTTGTTGCTGGATGCAACAGATATAAGACTGAGCTCTTGGACAGATAAAATTCAAAACAGAATAAATGGCAAGGGTAAGAGATGAGTCTGCAGCTCCTCAGAACTAGACCGAATATAAACTGAGAATATGCATTTTCTTCTTGGAAACTTATACATCAGCAAACTGGGAATCTTATTAATAGAAAAAAGCTGGTTTAGGTATCCAGAAGTCATTTAAAACTATCACTTACAGTTTTCCCCTCTGAGCTCTAGGAAATTGGATTAATGATATACACAAATGAAATTTTATAATGTGGAGGAAACAAAAAAAAAAATCCCTGTGATTTTTCATGTCTCAAAGCTACGTTATTTTTCCTTTTAAATATTTGGTATATCAAAAATGTGAGATAACATAATGAGATACAAAGATTTTATTAACAGCTCTTTGAGATGTTTCATGAATAATTTGTGGGACAAAAAATCACTATCACCTAATCACTATCCCATCCTAGTACAAAAGCTTTGGGATCACATGAAAACACAGTTCACTGCTTCCCATGGGAATATGGGAATACATGCTCTTGGATATTTTCAATTATAGCTGTTACTAATGTACTAGGACTAACTGATACACAGTGACTGTACTTCAACCATGAAGTCAGAGACTAACTGCAAACTGATCCAGAAGCCATTCCCAAAGAAAAACCCCTGGCTCGTGATTTTTCCGCTATTCCTGGGAAAACCAGACCTGACAACTTTGAGACAGAAAACAACTCCATTTTGCAATTTTCTTTTTTGTTTACTTACTGTCCACGAAAATATTTGCTATTCCACAAAGAAAGAATCATATCAAAAATATTCTTATCTGTATTCCAATCCAAATTTGATCTGTTCAAGTGCATAGGTGATTATACCTAAAAGCATAATTTAAAATATCTGAGAATGGATTCAAGTCTATCTTCTCTCTGATTGAGAGAAAAGTATTCCATCCTAAATCAGGCAAAACATGAAGATGAACTTCAGCTCCTGCAGACATTTTAAGCCAGAGACTGCTATTGCAGCAATACTTTTTTCACTGAAAATATTCTTATCATCTCCTGTTCTCTCACACCTTTAAAGCCCTCTTGTGAGAATCAAAAGTAGTCAAAATGTGGCTCACCTGTTTAGCTTCTGCTGGATGATTTGTTGGTCTAAACTTGGCTTCAATTCTGTCTAAGGATGAAAGACTCATCAGCATGCATGTCACTGCGAACCTCAACCATCCATCATTACTCTCAAGTATATTTTAGCTGTGATATTTACCTACTCACTGCTGTTTTGTAAACAGAACAGAAAATGAAGAATACCTTAACTTAACCTTTCCAGAGACCTTACCTGCTGATTTAGTACCCAGTCCTCACTCCTTGCTTAGATAGAGCTCCTAAACCAAACCCACATTGATTATTTTTGCTGTGAAAATTTAGCAGCTAGACAACTAAATTTTGAGAGGTTTCATTTTGAAATAGGATTCCAAAAGTTCAAAATATCCAAGACCTTTCATAATGTCTTATTAAAATAATGAACATTTCCAATATATATTAGTGTCTACGCCTGTGTGCATATATACTACATGACATAAAAGCATAGCCATTTGCAGGCATACCACCTTACAAGTCAACAAAGATAGCATTATACAAATCCAGATAAAAACTTCTCTGTAATTTATGCCTTAACAACAAGCACAGCTCTATTGCACTACTAATGGGTGGTCTAACAACACAGAATATTCACTGAGGCTGAAAATCATTAGGCAGTTTTGGCCAAAAAAAAAATGCTGAAGAGTTCAGTTGCACAGTCCTGGAGTGGCTTTTTTGTATTACTTGTTTTTAAACTACATGGATGAATCTGTGTCTCTGGAGAGGTTAGAATTACTGTTGTGGTGCAGAATGACTGTATAAATAACATCATCAGCTAATTAAATGTATTCATTTTGTTATGCAGTATCTCAAAAGGAAAGGTTCAAATACAGGTTTCTCCAGATGAGTATTTAGTACAGTCTTGTCCACTCTCATTTAATGCATCTTGAAAAAAAAAAAAATGAACAAGAGTTTACTGTTAAGAAGAGGATGGTGAGTGCTATAACATTGTGTTTGAGGCAAGACCTCCAGCAAACAGATTTCTAATACTCACTATCCCTTTCAGTCAAACGTTTACATAAAAAAGCAGAAATTTAAACACTGAAAGGAAGAAAGTAACACTTTGGGTATAAGCTAGAGAGATGAGCATATTGGAGGGAAAGTGAATAAATGTGAATGACATGAAAACTACTGAGGAACAGAAATCACACCATTTAAATCCAATTGAAAGAACTGTAATGCTACTAGAAGCACCTGAAACTTTCTTGTTTCCCAAGAAAGGTCTGACATGGTTTCTAAGTAACCCTCTACAGAGAATTGGTTATGAGTCATTTGGCTTTGAGCCTTTATTCAAGAAATAGACTTTATTAACATTCATAATCATTTTTTTCTTGGTGATCATTTCCATTAACAATGCATAATACTACAAGAAGAAAGAAAAAAATGTATTAGCCTTTATCTGCCTCAATTGTTAAGCAGCGACTTCTTAAAACCTTATGTTTACTGGCTTAGGGTAGCCTCTGGAAGGGACCTCTGTCCTTTCCTCTTTCTTCCACATGACTTTGTAGAAGGTGTTTGTCCATTAAACTCTCTGACCCATCAGATTTCCATGGGCAAAGTGCTGAAAAAAATATTAGTGTTTATTTTATGTCCATTATCTCCTGCTCGTATCTTGTTTATAATTTGTTGGTGTATTTAGCTGCCAGGTTGAAACTATAAAATATATCTCAATGTCAGTGGGAAATTCTGTGTGTAAATTATCGTGTTAGTAAATAAATCAAAAGCATTACTAATAGAATAGAATAGAAAAATGAGTAGAAAAGTCTAGCACTGATTTCTGTGTTTCAGGATGCTCTCTCTTCCTGGTTTTCTTTGTTAAACTTATGATAACTACGGAGGTGGAGGTTTTAGTCTTTACCTTTTTTTGAAAGTTTTGAGCTCTTAAGTCTACATAAGGAATACCAGTCACGGGGAAAGCTTAGGACTACCAAACTTAGAAACAAAGGCTGAGGTATTAGTATACCCGGGTGTATGGACTCAACTACAAGTGCCTCATAGTGAACCCAGTTTCTTCAGCTTTCAAAGATACCACTAGTTACAGCAATGCTCTTACTTCTCAGAGAAGTAAATCCCCCTCAAACGATTACAGCCTTTCAAACAAGCTTTTTATATTGTAAGATCAGAAAACACAGGAAAGCCAAACACTAAAATTCTTGTTGTTATGTAGTTTAAAATAGCAAAGGCCAAAGTATGCAAGCATTAAAAATTTGTTTCTCTAAAAACCCTGATGACATGTTGGATACACCACTTTATTAAATGGGGATCATTACTAAACTCATTACAAAATTCAAAAGATGAATTTTATGCAACTTTCTGATTCTTTTTTACCACAATCTTGTGTTTTAATTCTTCTTGTTTAAGGTTTACAATTCTGTGATACTTCTATTTCTATTAACTTGTAAGGAACATAAAACACCACCTATTCTCATAAAGCACTCTCCATCTACTTGAATACCAGCAATAACTACCTTATAGTCAGATAACAAAAATGTGTCAGTTTTTTCCCAACTTTGAGCTGTACTGGACACATGGTATTGCATACAGTTCAGCAAGTACAATTACTGCCAGAGAGCTGTAAACATTTAGAGGTGACTGTTTACTGGAAACAAGTGAGAAGACAATTACCAGCAAATGAATATGTATATCCATGGATTCTCATTTCCCTGCAATATAGTTAGAAGGTTGTCCTGGCTCTGGCAGGGATAGGGTTAATCCTCCCCAGGACCTAGCAGGGACACAGGTATCCCATCCCATGTGAGCCATGCCCAATCTATAGCCGGGAGCTGGCCAGGGCAGAGGGCAGGAAGTCACAGCTTGGGAGCGGGCTGGGGAATCCTAGTCGGGTTGGTGACCCGTGATACCGTAATCGTGTTTGTACATTCCTCTGTCAGTGTTATTGTTGTTGTTTCTGTTGTTCCCTTTTCTGTCCTGTTTAACTGCCTTTATCCCAACCCACAAGTTCCTCCGTTTTAGTCGAATCTCCCCTCACGGCTCTGAGGGGAGGGGTCAAGTGAGCGGCTGCCACGTGGTGCTTCATTTCTGTCTGAGGCTAAACCTCGAATAAGACTTAAACAGCTGAATATCTTGAATCCACTTACCAATTTCCACTGGGAGATCGTTGATTTGATTTTTTGACAATTCCAGTACTCTCAGATCTTGAAATAATGCAATGTAGGCTGGAATGGTTTGTATCAATGTATTGTACACATGCCATTCTTTCAGATAGGTCTGTTGTTTCAGAGAATCTGGGAATTCCTGTAAATGAAACAAAAACAGGTAAACAGAAAGCATCAAGCTGGAATTTTGTTTACCATGTTTCTAGGTACAGGGGGAAAAACTTCCACAGCCAAATGTCAACACTTTGCCTTGATTATCTTGATGTATGTAGAACAGCAGTTTGCCAAAGCCTCATAGGAGCTATTTGCTTTTGAACAGCATTGCAGCTGTCTGTCACTACATATTAATTTTTTAACTGTTAGTGCAATTTTTTTGCTCTAAAACAAACATATATGAAGCACTCAAACTGTTGGTGTCTCCCATATTATGTCCTTTTTCCAGCTGGAGGACTTTTTATAAAACACATCTCGGTTCTTTAATTCACACATCAAGATACAGTAAAATGCAACACAGAACAGAAGAGAGGGTATATGGAGAATATCTAAATAAGGTTTGTAAAAAAAACCAAAAAAAAACAGGCATGTGTTAATATCTGTAAAGTGTTAATGTCTGTAAAATATTAATGTCTGTTAATGTCTGTAAAAACAAAAATGTCTTAATACCTGCCAGTGTTTCAAAATCTGTTTGCCAAGATGGAATACAGTCCAAGGAGCAGAAACATTTGAGATAGGATGTATACATATCACCTTTTCAAAGTATTTTTTCAAATAAGTGACAACTTCCTAAAGGTATTCCAGCAATGTTTGAAAATTTTTACTAAACTTACACAATAAAAATATTCAATTTTTAAATCTGTCCATAATTGCAATTAACTCTTGCTTTAGCCATGCAGAATATTTTTCTTTAAGAATTCTAGAGTTGTTCCAAATACACAGCAAATAAATTTGCTTCTAAGTAATTTTCAGACTATTCTATTTGTCCAAAGTCTCCAATATGTAACAGTTACTGAAACTAAAAGTTATTGAATTCTTACAAAATTGCTTTAGTTAATTAGTATTCAGATGTATTTGTTTGAATTATGACATCAAATTCTTTGAACTTGAAACAGAAAGAAATCAGTTCATGAAGTTGAAGGTCAGATGATTTAAACTCCACCTTCTTAAGCAGCACATAATTTACCAGCCTGTCCTGGGTTTTATATCACTGTGCATTGGTAACACCTGGAATTAATTATCTGGATGAGATGCTGTCACTATCTTTGCTTCATAAGAAGAGATGTAAGAATTTCAGCCTTTAGTGCCTTTCTAACTTCGAAGTTTGTTTCCTGTGCATGAAAAATATGACACAGTAGGAATTACTGGGTTTTATACAGAGGACATGGTCGACTTTTTTTTATCCTTTTAGATTTTGTAGGTTGCCCAAGACATTAACAAGCATGATGCGCTTTAATTGTTTTTTATTAATTCTGAACTTTTGAACTAGGAATAGTGCTATTTAACTCTTAACTAAATTAAAACATCTAATCTTATTGTAATGAAAGATATACTGGACTTTTGATCATAAGCTGTTCTTTGCTTGGTTGTTGCTGCCTCTAATTTCAATTATTTTCAAATTTACACATGCAGACACTTAGCCTATATATGTAGTTCTGCTTTGCTACCTGCCCTTCCATATCCGATATGGATCGTTTCATGTCTTGCTTTATTTTCCCACTCAGTGTGTATTGCATTGTGCTCCATCTTCTGTGTTTGTCAGTTTATGGCAGTTAAAAAATAAAATGCCTGAAATACCTAAAGGCTGGTAATGAGAAATCTATCCACATTTCTGGAGTGAGCTTCCACTCCACCACCTTCAGGATTGCACATTTTTCTGCAGCAATATATAAAAATAAATATCAACTGCAAATTCAATTAGTATTATCTTTCTCACCTGTACAAAATTGAAAATGCAGCACATAGGGAATAGCATTTAGCTGGAGCATCACAGATGCCACTGTAGGGAAGAACCCTGATTCACAGAAGAAGCCAATGCAGCAGCATCATACTGGAGGGAAAAAGAGGTCTAGGTAACAGATACCATTTGCCACTGTATTTCTCCACAGCCCAAGTCTGTCTTTGTCTTTCTACTGACCTACTTTTTTTTTGCACTTTGTCACAACAGACCATCTCCAGCTCCTTACCAGCAGATACAACAAGGAGCAAAGGGGAATGCTTACCCTTCTGAAGCCAACAGCCTTGCTGTTCTCCCAAACTGAAGGGGGTATCTCACAAACTTCTTGATACATTGAAAACAGTGCAGCACGTAAACCACTCTCTTAGATCATAGACCAAACCCCATCATAATTTTAGAATAATTAAGCCAAAATATTTTTTATTATTATTAAAGTGGAAAAGATTTTTAAAAATCTTGATTTTTGTATTAAAAGTAAAGCACCAAGAAATTTCTTGTGTGACAACCGAAATAAATTCAAACAGGACTTCAAAAGAATGGAAGGAGGTACCATTCTTCTACCAATTGCCCTGACTTACTTTTCTTTCTTGAAATGATTTCTTTATATCTTATAATCTTATTTACAATTTTCAGTTTGTCCTGGCTTGAGGTCGAACTGAACCATCTTCCTTATCAGTAATTTTATTTCTTAGCTAAGCTGCTTCTAACTCTCTGAAATTAACAGCATATTGTGCAGAAAACTGTTCCTGTTCAGACTTATTGCCATAACAACCAAGGTCAGCTAACTTCATTATTTGCCCCACTGGAGGGTCAGAAACAGAAAAGCATAAAGTGGACAGGAGGAGTGGACAGGACAGGTGACCAAAAACTGACCAACAGGGTATTTCATCCCATCTGCCACATGCTTGGTATAAAAGGGTCAAAGGGTCAGTGTTTCTTCAATGCCTGAATTCCAAGGAGGACCCTGTCAGGGCCTTTGATCCCAATCCATGCGTTCCTGACTCCGGAACTGGAATCCAGTTCCCTTCTGTCACTGATTTCAGTCTGGGACTTCACCAGTGCCTGCCAGTGATGTCATCCTGGGATCTTGATATGGTTTTGTATATACTACATCTACTTCACTTTTTTATTATTATTTTATTATAAATATTTTATTACAGTAGTTTTGTTTCTTCTCAACTCATAAATATCTTTATTTCTCCTCCATCTCTCCTTGGAGCAAGAGGTGAGGGAGGGCATCAGCTTTCCGTCATTGGTCAATCTGGCACAAACCACCACACAAGTATAAGTTTACAAATACTTTGCTGTAGTGTGTTTTCTTAGCATTCTCTGTCTTACAATACATTTTTTTGTGTTGCTGAAACATAAATTGACATGATATTTTACTTCATTTACAAGCTACATAGGGGTGGGAACTGAAATTTGCACAAGATTTACATTTGCTTTACTCTCCAGTTCCGTTGTGTTCTTTTGTAATCTTCTGTTGCCACGCTAAAGCTGGCAGCCTGCTGATAAATTGCTCCACAAAGACTGACACTTGGAGGATAGCCAGTCATTTGCCTTTTAACAGCAAAACTCAGACTCCCTTGATTTTGGGAGGGAGGAAAAAAAAAAAGAGAAGGGTATTAAAAGGAAATAAATAGCAAACCTGTAACCATTGCTGATTGATTATACTATTTCTAATTAGGAGATAATTTACTTGCTAGACGTGAGCCTGAACTAAAAGCGTGATAAAAGCTCTGTGAAATTTCAATTTTGTTTCCTTTCCAGCTCTGTAGTTTTATCTGTCATGGGCCAACCCAAAACTTTGGATCCAAATCTCCCTCATCTTTGAGAAAGTTTGGAGCTAATTCTAACTATTCCAAACTAATATGTCTCAGGGCCATCCTTACCTGACTGGGTAAGGAATATTATAGTTTTTTAGGGGAAAAAGATCTTGAGGTAAATAAGCATGAGGGATTTTCTCTGTCCATTCAATACAGCAATTCTACTTAACCCTTAGCGGCAAATAAATACCTTACTAACAGCCGAGAATAAGAAATGGAATCTTTTTGCTCTCTGTGAAAATAAACAGCATGATAGACGATAAAACTGGAAGAATAAATACAAATGTAATAATCAGTTTCCTGCCTTTTTCTATGAAGAAATGACATGCAAGAAGGTCATGATTTACGAGTAAAGAATTTGACCATTGGTCATTCATTTACTTGTTGTGCGCATTTTACACTAAAGTTATTTAAAGCAGGTATTCATCCAGGTCCTCTGCTTAGGTCAAGTAACACAGCCAAGAACAGTCCTGCTCTGTATTCAAGTGAACATCATCACCTTTCCTTTACCAATATTGATAACAAAAATTCAAAAATTTGTTTTTCCTGAATATTTTCTGAAAATAATTTAAAATTCACCGATCCACTAGAGAATAGACATTCATTAGCTAGGAGCAGAAAGTAAACACTAAGAGGGGAAAAACAGACTTAAATTCATTGAAAAATTCACATGAATATTCATGGCATTATTTTGCCACAGTTTTCATTCTGTTCTAATAGCAGTGCTATTTCTCTGAAGAACTAATTTAATTCAGTGGATACATGTTTACATGTACAAAGGATCTCAAGTGTTTCATCAACTCTTTATTATTCTCTCCTAGGCAACTGATTCCAACACACAATTCAAGGCGCCAAAGTCTTCATATAGCTCCTTGCTATATAAGCAAAATAGGTTTGCCTGGAAAACTCTCAGATAAATAAGAAGTTTATCTGAAACATACCTTGGGAACCTCAGATTACTTGTGGCCCAGTTCACCATTCTTGTGCTGCAAAGTCCCAAAGGTTTTGCAAACACAGAAGAGTTTAGGACACTTGCTGCTGGGGTAGCACAACTGGATTCTGCCCATTTTTTACAAAGAGAAGAGAAAAGCCTGTCTGATTTCATTCACAACATCAGATATTAAGACTATCCCATTTGTTATTATAAGGCCTTTTCCTTCCTTAATAGAAATATTAATTCATTATTGCTCCTAGCTGGCAGAAATGTATCACCCAGGGATGTAGACACTTGAGTCATAAATGTTTAGTTGGTATGTAAAAGAAAAAGCAAGGACCACTGAACCTTAAGGATGCTGCCACACAGCCTCTCCAGGTGGAGCTCTGACAGACAAGGCTAAAACTATCTCATCGCTGCAGTTACCAATCATTGTCCACAACCAGAAGCTAACCATCCTGGGCGGGCATAGCCAAACCAGTACAAAAGTTACAGGATGACTTTCAGATTCAGAGGGACTCATTGACTATACATTCTTCAAGCATAAAAGCTTGATAATAATCCTACTTACAGCATTGTAGTTCAGAAGATTTCTATTCAGTTAGTGTGATCATGCTGTTAGAAAACCATCGTGACTTGAGATTGGTAGAGGCTCAAACTGCATATCCCAAAAAATTAGCTTAAAACTGAATGTTAACTATGGATCTGCATAAAGAGAATACAATTCCTCAAAATTCATATACTGTAAAATCAAGCCCTTCTCTTCTAAACTAGTACTCTGTGCCGATTTGTCTAAACTAATATTCATTGTATGAGCTTCATCTTTCCTCAGATATGTTAAAATAATTACTTTACAAGTACAAGGAACAGTAGGTCTCCACCTAATGAAAATACATTATCATTTCAATGACATTTGAGAAGTGGGGAAAAAAGTGGCACAGAGGTACTAAGGGAAGGAATTCCTATTAGGAATTCAAAATGTGTTATCTGCTCTGATTTTCTTCCTTACAGTGGTTCTCAGAAGGGGATACAAGATGATTTTCAAAAAAGCACTATCCGGGTGATTTTCAAAGTAATTGTCCCAGCTATCCCAGCTTTACAAAGCCCATTTTTAACCTCGTACTTAACAGTGAAGAATCAGTGGGCTAGATGCACTGTTATACTGTATAGATGTGGAGCATGAGACCACAGACAGCCTAGGCACTGATTAGTGCCCAGCGCAAGCTACCATTCTACTTGACTGCAACATTGAGAACAACACCTCAGTTGATTTGTGGACTCGGCTCATTTGCTGCTGAAGTTTCCAATAAAAGCCCTTACAATGAGATCTATGGGAAGAATCTAGTAAGACCACTTGCTTTGGTCTTCAAAATCCTTATGCAGGGGATTACTTCCCTGTGAGACTTCACAGCATCCAGAAAGAGAACTGACACAGCCCAGAAGCAAGCTCAGTTCTCAAAATTAAATCTGTAAATCATACCAGCAACCTACTTGGATTTAGCTATCAACTGTCTAGAGGATGTATTACTGCTTCATTGATGAGAGGAAAGGGGAAACATAATGGAAACACTTATCAGCTAAAAGCCAGTGAGACAGAGGATTCAGCAGCTAGCTCCCAATGGACACTTTACAGGTCTGTGCTGTTTGCTTCTGCCAACACTAAGTGGCCAGCCAACAGTAAACCTGTTTTGTGTTTGTAACAGCAAAGCTGCTTGTGTCCCTGTAAAACTGCACAGGCAATCCCAGCTCTGACTTCTCCTAGTGTCTGAGTGCTCAATCTTCCAAAAGTTCAATTTGTAGATGTATTTGTGTGCAAATCACATTACAAAAGCAAAACCACAATTAATACCACAGCTCCCAGCTACATAACATACAGGCATTTCTGAGAAAACTATCACATGTTCATAAATCTTTTCACATGCAAATTGCCAGTCTGTGCAGCTTTGGTTGTAAAGTCTGCAAATTCATTTTGCCTAAGTGCATCTTTTTGTGAGAGAGTAATAGGGCAGCATGTCACTTCTGATTCTGTCTTTGGTTAAGAAGGAGTAGTTGGGATCCAAAAAAGAAAAATAAGTGGTAAGATCTGTATAACCAATGTAATTTTTACAAAATTCCAGCAAGAAGGGGAAATACAATTCTTTCATAACTTTATCAAGTGCATTTTCACATTTTTAAAGTAATATTCAGCTGTCACAGCCTGGCAATGTTCTTTGATTTTGAAGGAGCATTGATCTTCTCTAAATATAGCAGCTTGGATTTTATCTTTGTCTGCAGACACCTGAACTATGCCACAGTATCTTGTTGAAACAAGAAGCATGCTTTAACCAGGCTGGAGCTGGACAATGAGGCACAGTGGTTGTATGATGTGGTCACGGTGAGCATATGATAAGGAGACAGAATCAAAGCGCATGGTAGTTAGTAGCGTCCTGCTCAAGGTGGCATAGTGTACCTAACAGTACATCAATATCTCTTAAATGAGATCTTTCAGCATGGCAAATTGAAATAAAGGGCTCTGGAAAACTGAACAGATTATGTATGTTTGCTTTTACCCCCTAATGTAAAACATATGGTGACAAAACAAAATATTAATGATTTAGCAAAAGATAATAAGTAAGAGAAAAGTTTTGTTAAGGAGCTCTCTGTTCCCTGACTCACTGAAAACATTTGCAGTTGCTACTATACCAATGTCTAGCAGTGTCTAAGGAGCTGTAATATCTCCTTTTTTTTTTTTTCCTCCTCAGGTACTACCACACAGGAAAGTGTGCAGTATAAGACTACACAGCTTTAACATACTTTTCAATGTCCAAGGTTCTTGAAGGATGAGACATGATAGTTCTCCAGCAACCAATCCAACTGCATGAATGATTGGCATCACTTGAAGGAATAGTCTTCTTACTAGAACTGGATGGGAACCAGGGTTTTCTATTTTCTAGAAATTTCATCTATTTTATGTTTATTCAGAAAAAATCTAAAGCCAGAACAAAACCACCCAAAAGCTGAAAAAGGAAACACCTTCATATTCAAGATCAAATCTGGGACAAAGGTACATTTCATGTCAATCAAATGAATTGTTTTAGTAAAATTAAGTCACTTTATCAATTGACTTTTTAACTTGCATTTTTTAATGGAAAATCTCAAAATTATGTTTCATATTTATAAACTACACAAAAGTAAAAATTTGATTTTTACTTTCTAATTAATGAAGTAGTGCATCTCCAAAATACATTTCAGTCAAAGCTTTAACAGCTCTAGAAACCTTCAGACCAACTCTAATCCACCTCTTGCTGAATTTCAAAACAGCATTTATTCAGAGTTTACTTCCAAACTGATATTTCACATCAAACATAACTGCAAGTAAAAAGTGCTTTTTTCAGCAAGACCATTGTGGATTGATGTTAATATTTGACCTGAGCAGAGCTTCAGTAAAAAGTTATCAGACCATTAAAGCAAGAAGACAGATCTCTAAGTAATAGAAGACATCCACAAGCCAGCAAAGATGAATATTATTTTCATCTCTTTCCATCCATCGGGGAATTTTCGAGAAAGATACCTTATTGCAATATGATTGCTTATACCAAAATTTTTGAGAGGGCTAAATTACATGTATCAGTAGAGAATTTAAAATAAGCACATTTAAAAACTAAACCACTGGATCAAGGTAAGATAGGAAAAGCTTTCATCACTTCTAATACTGTGAAATAGCATCAACTTCATATGTATTGGCAAAAAAAAAGAGTTTTGGGGGATTAAAAGTTGCAGTGCTATGCTACCCAAACTCTTTAACAATAGGAACATATTTTCCATTATATTTACCATCCATTGCTCTCCGGAAAGCTGAAAAATAAACTTGTTTTTTTCCTTATTTTCTTCATCTGACAAATTATGCCTCTTCTGGAGCCAAGGAGTCTTTCCATAAGTGTCCAAGATCTTCTCATCAGTGTCTACAAAGCCATTCTTAAGGTATTTTGATTGAGGAATACCTTTCTTCCGGCACTCTAGTATGAAATTCCATTCCTGCTTTATCCTGAAATAGTGCCAAAAAAGGTTTATGTGAATCAGCTGAAACAATACGGCAATTAAGTCTTAAAGCTTGATCTTTTTTGGCACAAGTACTTAACAAAATATAATTATGCAGCTAATGTATTGGCCATTTTTAAAGGGAAAAAAAAAAAAAAAAAAAAGGTATTCCTGGAGTTATGCTTAGATTTTCTAGACTTAGATGCAGATTTCATTTAGTGACTATAAAACAGTGACACCCAGGGAATGATAGTAAAGTGGAGACCAAGTACACTGTAATAGAGAACAGCATGTATGATGCCCTTTATTTCAATAGAGTAGAAAATTTTCACAGAATAAGTTATATGTATAAACAAAATAAGGACCTGGTGATATATGCAAAATTTTTCATTTAGAAAAATGTTATTTTAGAAAGTAAAAAGTTAGAAATATTCCTTTTCCCCTGACTGTTCTTGTTCAAGTATAATGATTATTTTTTTTTTCACATTATCTTCCAATATCATCTTAGAAAGTGTAGGTAAGGGTCAAAGTTGACCACATGTCAACTAATTTCACATTCAATTTCAGTCTAACTTTAGGCTCACCTTCAGGGCAAACGTCTACCCTTATAACTTCAGGTACAAATTCAATGTGATATAATTAAGTATTGTTAAAATCCTGTGCTTTAATTTAAGAGAAATGTATTTCGCCTTAGTCAACTAAGGCACAGGTTGGTTGACCACTAGCACTGAAGAGAGCCTTCCTTATAATGAAATAGGACTCTGCAGAGACCCTTGCATCATAAATCTGATCTCCTGATTTGAATGCTAGATTTTTGTGGGTTTATGTGATCTCCACCCTCTGGCAGAAATTTTAAGCTAAAAGACTTGAAGAAAACTGACAAGTGAAGAAGAGCACAAAGTTCAAGATAATATGCCCCCTAAAGAAAGTGAAAAATGGCATGTCCTAGGAAGAGAATCAGGTCCAAGTTTGTAAAATTCAAGTAGTAAGTAACAAAACCTTTACATTATTCCTACCTAAGCATGAAATTGTCTCTAAAATGCTAAGATATTAAAACAACGGCACATGAAACTGAATGTCTGCTTTCAAGTCACATACAAGAATTCAGTCACAAACTTGGGTACAAGAAGTACCTTCCAGGCTTGGTGTTAAAATAAGTAATTTTTGGACACTCATAGTAAGGTATGGGACAGAAACTGCAGGGCAGAGTTTATTTATGAGAATATGATGCCACAAATTAAAAGTCATATTTGACTCCATGCTATCAAAATAAATCATTACACAACAAAACTGCATGCCTAAGTAGGAAAGGTATTACTGAGACAGCTCTAAGCTGCCCAGCACAAATTATAGCACTTACTAAAACCCTAGAGTATGTTAGAAACAAAAGCAGAGAGCACAACACCACCACCAAGACCTCACCTATATGCATACACACAGCACACTGACACGCTGCAGACAACATACAAGTTTGTAAACTATGTATGACTTTATCAGAGCAGCTAGCCTAAGAGACCACAAGAAGCCCTGATTTAGTTTCAAAGAGCAGCACACTATACATGGACCATCAGAGAATTACAGAAAGTTCATTCTGTAATAATTACTGCAATGTTTTCCCATGCAACATTTTTGTAAAGAGAAAATAAGGAAGAATATTTTCTACAAATATATCAGAAGTGAGCTTCATATAACAGTGAGGCTGGTTAAAAGTACAGTTCACTGGGTAAGGCGGTGGCAGACTGCATGACAACAGCACAACATCAGAGTAAGTTCACTCTAATGAAGCCACTGGAAGGATCTCTTTCTCCCCTCATTTCCAAAAATAGAAAGATAAAAAAAAGGATAAAATGGCACTTAGAAATTATAAGGCAGTATAAGCTCTTATAAATTAAATGTGAAAACACAAAAAAAAAGCAAGTGAAGTCACTTATTGTAGGTATATAAATGAATAGAAAAAGGAATTCTAGCGTATCAGAAGCAGAAGATCTCTGAGGGAGACATTGGGAGCAATAACTTATCAAGGTATGAAAATACTAGTGAAGGAACAGTTAAAGAAGTTATTGAGAGCTGCAGAAAAGTTACTGATCCTTGGCTTCATTTCAGTTTTCATTAGAGAGATCAGTAAGTTCTTTACAAGTAGGCATCTGGAGGACTTTCTGAGATTTGAAGTGTCAATAGACGAGGCTTCAAAATAAATATGTGTATATATTTGAAGTAAATGTCATGGTTTCTCTTAGTGTCTAATTGTGAACTGGTTTATACCACAGCAAGCTGTGATGAGTAGATCAGTTAGGAAAAAAAGTACTGGACAGATAGAAAACATGTCCAGCAACATGCTTAGCTCAAGGGGTCCCTAGAGGGGCACTGACACTGCCGGTACAGTCAAGGAAGAGTACACCACCAACCCATAACATCTTAAAATCTTTTCTGAAGCTAATTGATATAATGAAGACAGGAAAATAAGTTAGAGCAGACACAGCTCCTTAGCCCATTTTGTGATTCTTCAACATTCTGCATCTGATACTTCTGGTTACAGAGGGAGAGACACCCAAGTACCTGATCTCTAGCCCTACCAAAGAGTATCCCCTTCAGCTGCATTCTGGAAGTACTCAGATAACAGAATTTTCCATGCCAGCAGACATGAAACACCTCTTTCAGACGCTTTGATACATGAGCCAATTCAATTTTTAGCGTTGATCTTGCTTATTCAATCTGTCATTTAAACCCCAAAGACTACCAGCACAACAGAAGGTAGACAACGCAATAGTAAAAGATCCCTAGGAAAAACTAGAAAATAACACTTTCATATACTATAAGAAAAATAAACAGACCAAAACCACCTACTCATCCTTTTTCCAAAACTCATCTACCAGTAAGCATAGCTAATTAGCTAGAAAAGCTTTGTCTTACTGCGGGTGGGAGGTAAAGTGGGCAGGGGAAAAAAAAAAAAAAGTTAACTGAATCCCCAAGGAAGAGAACAACAAAAGGATCTGAAACATTGAAAGGCAAGAACTGAAAATGACTAAAACCCTGACATTCCTTTTTTTCTAAAATCTTCTAAATAATCCTAGCTTTACTTACCACTGCTGTACTGCTGTTTCTCACATCCTCCTCCAGTCCTCCACATACAGCTTTTCTGTCCCTCTGTGAAGCTTAACTCTGCATTACTGCTCTCTCATTTCCATGGAAATCCTTCATTTTTTACCGAAGTAATAATCATCTCAGCTCCGAGCATAATTCAATACACTGAAAAAGCTTGCCTCCAAGATGCCCTCTTTTGTGTTTATTGCTCTTCATTTAAGCAAAAATATGACTGATCTGTTCCTCGTAGCATAAGTTCTAAGAATGTTAGAAACTTAAAAAACAGAAAGGAGGTCAAAAAGTCTAATTGTCGATAAAAGTAAGGCACTGAGCCGCTATACTACACCTCAGTGCTGGTTCTGTCAGGTAGACTCCAGGAACACAAGGCCAAAGGGCTCACATCTAAAATTTTACTCTCTCACAACAAGGAACATAGAAAATGGCAAGAAGATGAAAGAATAAACTGTCCTCTGACACCTTACTGACAACATGCTCAAAACAAAAATCTCAGGAGGTCACAACACATTGTTAGCCAAATAAAACAAAATGCACATAACAAAAACTGCTGTTAACCAAATCAGTCAGTGAAATATTGACCTCAGAAGAAAGCCAGGCATAAAAATTAAACCTATTTAGGAATTCAACGTGGATATCATGCAGTAATGTGGAAATCCTGTGTAAAATTTCTTCTTTACTCATATATTAAATAATGGCAATATGCTCTTAAAGCTTTTAAAGAATGCCCACTTATGATCACCAGGCTAATTACTGTGCTCAAGCCCATTTTGAACAGATGGAAAGTGAATTAATAATGGAGCTAGAAACATGCGTAATTTTGTACATCTCAGAATGAAAACATGATACATCCCAAGGGTGGAGGATCTAACAATGTATAGCCCCTGTTTGCACCTTTTGTGTGCACATTAACCAAATGAATGAATGTGAGTCTTCCTGGCCTGGAGGTGTGACTTACATCAAGCTGGTATGTATCATTAAGCAAAGATTACAAAGCTGTAATTTACAGGTTACATTTGAGATCAAACCAAAGGGATCTATTCAGCTACATGGTTGTTACTCAGCAATGTCATTGGCAAAAAAATATTGAGATGATGGTACTTCTTAAAGGATCTTTATGAAAATAAAGACCATTTTGAGCCTTCCTTTGGTAACAGTGATCAAATAAAATAGAATTGCCACCACATTTGTTGAATATGGACGCTATTGCATGAATCTTCAAGAAAGACAGGAAAAGCATTGAAACCAAAATGGCAAATAGAAAAAAAATTATCCACATTAATAAAATCAGCCTTTAAATATGCTAATATAGAGAAATTAAATTCCTCATCTTGGCACTTTAAAGGCTGCTGATATTCCTGGAACACATTTTCACATATGACAAATAAATGAGTTAGTTTCAAAATCACAGCCCTCCTGAAGTTTGTGTCTTTTTATAACTATTCAGCAGTTATACATTTTAATCTTCCTCTAGAGCTTGATCAAACAGTGACAGTCAGATTAAAGAAACAACTATCATTTTCAATATTCAAAAAGAGCGTGTTACTCAAGTAAAGCCTAACTTAGGTGGGAGTATGAGCACAAAAAAATATTTTTTCTAGACATAGGACTCAGATGAGGTCTAAGGCTCTAAGTCAACTAAACACTCCAGTATTTCCATTTCAATCATGCAAATAGTCCAACTAATTTTAAAAAAGGCTGATTTCATGCCATTTATGTTTGTCAAAAAAAAAAAAATTATGTTTCATACCTTTACACCTGTAAAACAAAAACATATTTGTCAATAAAGCAGACTGTAAATGGTATAGAGGAAAGGTTAATTCTGGCAAGCTATTTCCCAATACATTTCTGTTTTTCAGTAAGCTTTCATGACAATACACTATAGATGTCAAAAAGGATTAGCAGGAAAAA